GCAACGTACATATTAATAAAATAACGACTATTTGTACAAGAAATGAATATTTGGTACGACGTTTCGAGCATAACTTTTCATCAGGAGGAACGAAGAAGAAGAAGATCTGGTGAAGAGTTATGCTCGAACGTCATATCAAATATTCATTTCTAGTACAAAAGTCGTTATTTTATTGTATCAAAAATTTTGTTCATTTTCGATGTTACAACACGCACAACTTCATTGATTATCAATTTAGTAAAGTACGTCAGCTCGAAATATTTATCAAGTATTAGTATTTTTCAATGATCAAGTATGAGTATATTTATCAGAATTTTTTACTACCTTACAATCCCGGGAAACGATACTTTCAAGAAAAATTGATGTTTTGCAACCCATGTGAATGCATGTTTCTGAAGGACAAATGATAAAACTTCTAAGCCAACATTGATTGGGGGAAAGATGGATTAAGATTTACCGGGTCATGGTAATGGTAAAGTAAAAATTGGCGAAAATTGTATTTGTATCAACAATTTTGTCTGGGATTATAGCTTCTACAAGTAGGATTTAGGACATTGAATGATTATGCTTATCGTGCAGAGTCCTGGTTCTGTTTGGCTAAGTAAGTGAATTGAACCACAGACCCTTGTAAAACCTTTTCTGTGTCCCAGTTAAGCCATCCTTACGCAATAGAGCCATCCTTGCCTGATGAAGATATCTAGACTGAGAAGGCCCATCATCTTTACAGCAAAAAGCTACAAAAACATATTGCAAATTAGTTGTAATAACAATTATCAATAATAGCAGAAGCTACACTATGATATATAAGAATGTAAGAAAAGTTGTTATGAAAATTATAATTGATATATGTAAACAGAAGCAATTTGTCGAATTTGAGAGTAAATGTTTTTATTTCTTATCCCAAAGCCGGAGCAAAAACGAAAAAGCAAAACCCAAAGGTTTGTAGCTCGAATTTGCTATGTCGACCGATTTTTTTTACAAATAACTTTTGATATAGGTCTTTATCCATTAATGGTATTGAAACAATTTTGGCTCGAAACCACAGAATAGGGACAAGCTATGTGGTGAAATATCATAAAAATGACCTTAAAGACTTTCACTTCTGAAAAGAATTCAACTCTTGTTGAATTGTAAACATTATTGAGAAGAAGCTCTTTAAGAAGAAATTCTTGAGATTAAATCTAAAAATCACTGTAAATTTTTTGCTATAGAACTTTTAATTACCACACATCAACGAAAACCTTTTGTTATAGAACTTTGTTGAGCTCCCATACATTAAATAAGAACCCCTTCTGTAATATTCTCTTTTAGACACCTTTGAGAGGTTCCTATTCTTACAACTTCTCATAAGTAAAAGAGCTTTGCCTACATTTCCCAATGAATGATTATCTAGCTTAAAGTACAGACCTCTAAAATTTAGAAAAATTGTAAATTAAATGCTACTTGATACACTGTTCATAATTGGATGTCTTTTTGTAACCCTGTGAATATACACGTGACATGCTCTTTTTTGAACGATTTTATAAATATAGTGATTTCTGCCTTGGCATTGGTTGTTTTCATATGAATTAAAGGAAATTTGACTGGGAAGCATCTGAACCAGTTATCAGCTTTGCTTTGTTTGTTGATCATTTTCTCTATCACAACAGTCATGCACCTGCTTCAGCAAATGAATTATATTATTATTAGCGTCTCTTACGATTTCTTTTAAAGTAAAATTTCGCCGCCAATTTGTAAGAAGATGCTAGTTTCCTTATTGTGATTGTGTGGCACGAATTCGTCTCTCTCTCACGGGAAAGTACCAGCTGAGATAATTGTCTTTGATTAGCGCAAGACAACAATCCTGATAAATTTTTGGTGCGTGGCAACCAAATAATCTCTGCATCCTGGGCGAGAAGTTGCGTATCGAAGTTGGAAATTTTTTGTTAAAATTCTGTTACCGATGTGTTTCCTTTTAGAAATTGTCAGCTCTTCTGGATCTGGTACCAGCGTTGGATCTGAATTGCTTGTTGATAAAAGCAGACTTGCTCCAAAGGTAAGCCTACATTTTTGTAAACGATTTTGCAAGCCGTGAGGGCACTCTTGCAAGTGCGAGATTTCGACCAAAACAGAAGGCTTGCCAGGGATTTCTGTAAAACAAGAGGATTCTCACCGCGTGCACGAGATTTTCATGGATTGATTTTCCCCTCGATGCAAGCTTTCGTCGCCGTGTTTATCTGTAATCCAAGTTGGGTGATTTAGCTCTCTTGTCGACTATACGTCGAAGAATAGGCAAACAAAATTGTTTCTCGCTTATTTTGAATATACACAAATAACTTACTAACCTCTCTATAACGTTATTTCACAAGCATCTTGATCTAATTTAATCAATTCCTAAGTACTTCATACATTTGTAGCATTTTCTTTGGAGATTAGATTTGCTTCTTGCAGACTCCAGTAGAAGACCAGAGCTCTTACAATATTCATGTTCTTTTCGTGCAAAATAAGTTATGAATCACAGCTAACTCTGTCATTTGAACCTTAATAGACCGAGTTCACTGTAGTTCGACCAATTTTACGAAGAAGACTGATTTTTTAAGTAAATTTGTTTTAAAACTTTCCAAAAATTGATGCTGTTGTATTTTTTGGCCATCATTTGATTCATTTCTTGTCATTTGCTGTACGGCCTTTCAGTGAATCAACAAAGGGCGTTAATTTCGAAGCATTGCGATATCCCAATGTTGCTCTGTTCCCCCCTTTTTTATGAAAACGACAACTTTATGCTGGAGTATATAAAAAAAATATGCACAGAGAGGATTTTTCAGTTAAAAAAAAATGAAAGACTTCAACCGGTTTTAAAAAATGCTCTGAAATACCCTGTTTTGGAGTAAATGGAATTCATTGTGTTTCATTTGTTTGTCAATGATTCATTTGTTTTTTCTTTTTTCTTTTACAGAAAAATCAAGGAAGATCGGTAAGTAGCTTTTCGTAATTATGATGAATGTTGGGGTTAGTGAAAAACTATTCGTGTTTTATGTTGCAAAAATGTCATCAAAGATCAGACACTAGTGGAAATCAAACAGAAGAACTGCAAAACACCCTTGTTGAATTATTTGAGCAACACTTTTCATTTCAGCAATTTGTTTTCCAATATCCTGCTGCTCACTCGACTTCAGAACGATAGATTTCGAGTCCAGCCTGTCTGTTCCATTAGCAACTTGCTGCAATTTCTAAGTTAGGAGAAATAACCTTATGAAAGAAGTTTCTTATTTCTAAACTCTCTAAATCCCTGAATGATTATAGGTTTGCTAAATCATGTTGTTTTTCTTTGAAGGATTCACCAAGCCCAAGGGATAGCCCGGGCTGGCTGAAACTTAAGAGTAACGCCGAACACCAGGATGACAATCTTATGCGAGAGAAGGCTTTACTTTTCTCAGACTACCATCAACCATATAACTTTTTGACGCACGTCAAAGAAAGACCCAATACTAGTTTGGAGTCAGTTTATGGTGGGAGTGATGTAGCCCTGCCGAAATCCAGTGCCTCCTCGTCGTCTCCATCTGATCCACTTGCATCTAGGAGAGTGCGTCCTGACCCGGGAGGTCGTCCGTTGGATGACTCGGTAAGGCCAAGAACATCAGCCTATGGAGGGCCTAAAGAAAAAAGAAACTCGTATCCTCCATTAAACAAAAAGGTGGAGGAAAAACCAGTCAGAAACCCACCTGTGAAAGCTAACGGAAAGCGCCAGGGACCTATAAAGAACGGTGGCAATGTAATGCCAAAAAATTTATCTGAGTCTGGCGCAACCAGTATGGAATGGGATCCCTATTTTCTTAATACCAAGAAAAATGAAGAGGATAAAAGGCGCTTAGAAAGAAATGCAAGCAACGCTCGCAAGAAATCAAGGAACATTTCGCCGATATCAGAAGAAAATACTCAAGACCCTGAAGAAGACCAACCAGTTGACAGTGTTGTGCCCCAAGTTGGCTCGGATGATGCAAACTCAGAAACTCCAGCTGTATCGGAAAGTTTGTATCCGTTGAATACCAGTGATACATCGGAATCCGCAACACAGGCTACTGCTGCCCCGCAACGAAGGGTTTCTCCTCCAAATAGAGGAAGCCTTGCACAGAGGACATCTCCTCCGCAGAGAGCCACTCCTGCACAGAGGGCATCTCCACCACAGAAAACTACTCCACCTCAGAGGACGTCTCCTCCACAGAGATCATCACCACCGTCCAGAAATTCGCCCCCATCGCGGATTTCTCCGCCTCAGGGAACTTCACCTAAAAATACTTCGCCGTTACAAAGGCACCCCCAGAGAACTTCTCCACGTGATTCGTGGCAGCCTTCACCTAGGACTAGCGATGAAAGTGAAAAGTCAGATAAACATACTCAGTTCAGCAGTAGTCGTCGATAATTTGGTTAATGAGTTTTTCTTTATAAAGCTAGCTAGCCTAATGTTAAAGAAACAAATACTGCAAACTTGGGTCAGTTTTACAGCCGATCTTTGTGTCTAAGCGATAGCGACATGTTTATTCGTCTAGTAAAATCTTGTGTTCAGTATCCTTACAAGGTATGGGAAACATCTTTGATGGGAGATACCCAATATATCACTCCACTACAGTAAAGAAAGCCCTTTTTAACGCAAAAATGTTTTCACGATTGTATCGTACACAAAATTTTCCAAAAGTCTTTCTTACCTCTTACTTTAGGCCTACGTTTGTTTCGGTTAGGTAGTGAAATTCTTTAACAAATGCTTTGTTTCTCTTTTGTTTTACTGGTTCTGAACATGTGTATTGTTTATAGTATCATACCCAATGTTATTTGACAAAATCCAATTTAAAAAAACCGAGCCATATAGTAAGTGATTTTCCTTGTGAGACAATCGAATAAAGAATAAAATCGAAGTTTGATTGGATTTTAGGCTTTCAAGTAAAGAATCGCTCAGAATTCATATTTAGTTAGGCCTCGTAAATCTCCCATTTGTTGTTGTTACATTTCCCTGGACACCCTCCTCGAACCCTCCTTGAAGAATCCTTCGTGCGAAGTCCATGCTTTTGGGAATTAGGATTCTCCAAATTAAAATACATCTCCTAGCTAAAATGCATTCCTATTCATGTTTTGTTTTTTTATTAAATGCTGCCAATGCCGAAAGTCATCTTTTTTCACCCGCGGGACATATTTATTCGCTCGACTGGACACAAAGTCATCCTGTTGCTTGCTATCCAACGTCTCGTTAGTCGTGCAGAATTTTTCTGAGAGGAAACTGTTATTAACCCTCAGTTAACGTGAGTTCTTTACTGTATATTGTAAAACAAAGTTCGATTCTTTGAATCACACGAAAAGATTATATCCTCTGTCCTAATTTTTGTATAGTTTCGGTTTAAAGATGTTTATTAGTACATAAATTAAATTATTTGAGTAAATGATGCTTATATGTTGCTAATTTTTGTAATACGAATGTATCACCGATAGTGTGTTATTATCTTCGATTTGTTCTATGCAGAACTTTAGGAAAAGGTTACAGATAACTGGACCCGTACAGAGTAGCACATTATAAACCCGTCTCCCTTGCTAGACATTCTTTTTTGTCATACCTCTCGCAGAGGGTAACCTACAAGTACTCAGAGGACTGCCTCCTCGAGAACTATGCTTTAGGGCTTGCCTTCAGGGTTGTTGATTCTCACAACGAATTACAAGATCAACAGGGCGGTCATGCCCCCCCCCCACTTTTTAGTAAGCAAAAGTATTTGCAAAGAGGCCCTGTTTTGAAGCACTAAATTCAAGTTAGATTTATAGAACCTGGCCTCTCCACCTGAAACTCGTGGTGTGGGCTCTGAATACAATGAGGTTTATTTGTTTCATAGTTGGTCGGAGAAACTACCCCACGACATTTATTTCACTCACTTAGGGCTAGTCACCAAGCAGAGAAAATGTCTTATTCTGAAACAATGTTCGGCACATCTCAATCGGCAAGATGAGCAATACATCAAAGCATTGGCATCAACTGTTAGGGTAAGTTTCGGACCTATAAATCGATTTTCTTTCACTGTTTTCTTTCACAGGCTTCCATTAAGTCTTGGGATGCACATTCTCTTATCAAAATCAATCGTCGGGAATATTTTGAATTTCTTCTAATTTAAGACAGAATGCAGAATCTCCTTTGAAGGGGACAGGAAGAGAAAGTCGTTTTCTTGAACTCATCCTGTCTATTATTGTCCCCTTCTGTTGAATATAGTACGATTAAAAAAATTTAAGACAATGGAAAAATGAATAGTTCGTGTTCTAGGACCTCTAAAAGCCGCTCTCAAATGGGAATCAGGATGTAATCTAGTGTGAGGACCTCTGTCCTTTCTTGATAAAGCGATCTCCTACGAGTGACTTACCCCTGAAAGAGGACTCTTTTATTTCTTAGCGAGAGACAGCTCGAATGTTGAGAGAATCGTGTAAGAAGGTGTGGTCATACCCTAAAACTGAAAGTTGTTGACACACAATCATGAAAGTTACGTATTTGGTTCTATATTTTTGCCGTCAAGGACTCATCAATGCACCAGATAAAAAATAGTTGAAAGGATTGACTTTGAAACGATTGGAAGCTTCAAAATATACATTGCATCAAGCTTGGTTGTAAAGAATAAGCTTCATTGTATAGAGTACGCTGAAATCAGGTGTTCTGGCCCTAAGCCGATATATTAGGGAAGAGTAATTTTTTGAAACTTTCTTTTTCAAACTTCACTTATTATGTATGTTGTTGTACAACATTTCTGTCATCTTGTATGCCAAATTCTTCAACAAAAGAATGGTTTATAGAAAGTCTAGCGTTTTGCAATGGTTATTGCCAACTAAAAATATTTTGAAAAGGTACGAAACTATATACAAAATTAAACAGCCGTGAAGCCAGGAAAGTCAAAGATTACAATTGTACAGTAACCCGAGAACAGTGTCGTCTGAATCATAAATGTTTTAGAGACAAAATTAAAGGGTGTTACCAATCTAGAGCTCTGGGTCGAGTCAAAATAATTACATCGGAAAGTAACATAAATTAACATAAAAAGATTATGAATCCAGTCCAGAGGTTGATGAATATGCCAGAGCCTTTATCTATGTAATTCCGTATATCAAAAATACAAAAACCAATCAATATAATTCTAAAAGAAGCTTTTTTCAAGGCTAGTTTTTGATTAAACTTTGTATATTGTTTTGTAAAACTATGAAATCACTTTTATTTTTGGCTTACCGATGAAATTGGTATTTATTTATTTATGAAAATAGAACCACACCGTCTAGAAAGTAATGTCTGAGGATATCCTCGCTTAGCGATTATATCACTTGTCGCAAAACCACGTGTTGTATTGTTGTTTTTTCATTGCACTCTCATTGAGGATCTAAAGGCGGGTTTCCACTTTGGCGAATCAGGTCGCGCAAATCTTGCGATCGCTCGGTTGCTATCGCAGGATTGATTTCTACTCTTGAGATTTGGTTGCGCGATTAGGCACGTAAACAATATGGCGATTACAAGGCGACAAATTTTGATTCTCATTTTGTTGAGGCGACGATTAGAAAGAAAGGCACTGCAGACTCGTAAGAAAAGGAGATGCTGGGTAAGAAAAATATGCGCAGAGAGTGAAAAGGGAGAGTATCATTAGCTTGTGAAAGAGATGAAACTTTTAGACATTTTCAAAAGCAAAATAATTTGACTGTACTGTAGGGGGTTGACTTTGCTGAACCTGGCGTGAAAGCAACATAACTTCTGGACCAATTTTTGTTTTTTTCATCATCTTTTTCTCAGCGTAGCAGAGCGTAGAGTTGATTTTTTTGGATAAGCGCCATTGGGTTAAATGCGCATGCCCAGAACAGCAGTCGTGCAATTTCCGAAGTGGAAACTCGCCTTAATTTAGCTAGATGTTAAATATGAACGAGATAAAGTTTGGAACAGAGGCTACGCATGGAGCAGAAGCATTTCAAAGACTCTCTCCATTTTTCACTGGGAACAATTTTCAATTGTGCACTACTTTGTTTTGCATTTCCTATAGTCAAAACATGAAATATACAGTAGATGCAATTATACAGATTTTGTTCGGATGCAGCAGATCATTGTGTTGTGCAAATGCAAGATTGTCTGTTATTCTGGGGCTCTGAACGTGAAAAACATTTCAATTACAGAAAGATTAGCAAGAGTTAGATTTTGTACTGATTAAATTTTCGACCTCAAACAATGTAATTTTTTGATGGAAATGCATAACCATTGTCAATACCACCTTAAATGGATTCCTGGTTTAACAGCCTCTACCTTCCATCACAACGCTGATCGTTTTATACGAACATGATCTTATAGATCGAGAATTTCTTTGAGTTTATGAAACCAGTATAGCAAGAAGCCAATGGGAAATTGGCATGTGCCTCGCTTGGCTACTCTGAAGTAAATGTACTCGTCACGCTTGACTGACATTACGTCAGATGACCCATCAATGCACAGGCCTTCACCGCACCTGGCCAAAATTCAAACCGTCGATACTAAATAAATCGTTGCTTGAATTTATGAATTAAAAACAAAGTTTTAACAACCATTAATCGATGGATTTTGGATAATTGATTCATTGTTTACAACATATTATTTTTAGAGTGCAGTAAAAAATGGACAGAGCTGAGTATTGTGGAAACTGTACAATGCAGACGGATTTACGTTGATATTGATGCAAAGAGAGATTACTAAATGGGTAAAAGCGAATGGAGAAAAAGTATGGAAAATCGTGGATGCATAGAACGTTTCGATTTTGGACTGCAGCTGTTGTTGTGATTTTAGTCGGTATGTTACATAGTTTTTAATATTTTCATATCAGATTGCGTTATCTTGCGCTCACAAAGTCGCAATACTGTGCAGCCTTATTCTTCTGGTATCTGATTAAATAGGCAAGCATAAGAAAAATACAAAAAGTGATGTTAGGTTGCTTAAGCAAGTAAAACACGACTTTTGATTCTTGTTTCTTTATAATAGATGTTGGATTTAAGACAATAAATATACATATAGCCAATTTGTGTATTCTACCATGCAAAAAAGGCATGGTTTAATCACTGTCTTTTTGCTCTGTTTGGTAACACTTTTAGACAAAGACGTGTTCTGTAGAACGTTTTAGATTATAAACACTTATTTCAAACGTCTTTCTTTTAAAATTTCTAAACACTTTGGCAAAAAAGCTGCAAGCTTTATCAATGTATTTATCTCCTTTATCGACTTCGAGTCTAGAAGTTTCACTCATCCGCAGAAGATTATCTCTTCGACCTTGCAAATATTTCTTAAAGATCATATGCCGTACGATAATTTGTTCTCAAATCTTTAACTTAGAGACAATTTCCGTAAATAAAGATTTAATATCTGACTTGGATTCTTTAAGAAGTTCATTTACGTTACTAATTTGCAGGCCAGTCAATGAATTATTACTGTAAACACACGCATTCTCATCATACAGAGAGTTCTAGCTGCATTGTCGTTCAGCAAATGATCATCTGCTTTCTATACGCCTTCAAATCATCACAACATTGGAACTAGATGTCATATTCTTTAATCTTTAATCTTGCAACAGAGAATTAAAGATGAGCTGGAAATGCTGCTAGTCTAGAAAATTCTTGCTTTATTTTTGCAGGTCTAAAACTCATCAACAAATTTATGTTTCTATGTATTGAATATAGGTTTTCAACATGAATATAATAAAGATTGTTTTTGAGATAATACCAAACCTCTATGATGCCTTCTATGAAATATATTGAGCAGCAATGCTAATGTATTGTTCTACTGACCCATCAAAGACCCTCAAAATGGTAAAGCACATTCGTATGTCCAAAAAGAAAATTATTTTCAGTACCTACTAAAATGATTTACCCTAAGAATGCCTAAGAATGAAATTGTATGGTGTAAATTCGTTCCATAGAACGAACGAAATTGTATTTAAATGTATTCTACAATACATCTAAATGTGTGGTAAATGCACCTTTATGAAAAGGATGTGTTTGAGTGCTTTTTATCAACTCTAAGTAATTTTGAACTAATCAAAGTGGAAAGCTATGTTTTTTGCAAGTTTGATTAGCATATTAGGCCAAATAACCAGGGCAGTCAAGGTTTCTTGCTAAACCTACAAACCCGTGGCAAATTCATTGGCTATTCATTGCTGTCTCGAAACCAAGCAAAAGCCGTCACAACCAATTCACATCCTTGTTACTTCAGCAAATTACTATAAAGGTATCATCGGTAATCATTGACCCCTGCACCGGTCGATTCATAACCAGCCAAACACATTCACTCTCATTTACTAGTGCGATTGAGGTGTCCCTGTTTAAGCGCAGTCCAAAGGTATACTGCTTTAAGAAGAATAAGGAGCCCTCTTAATATGTTTTTTTCAAAAACACAGCAAGAAGAGAAAAATAGCATTTTACGGTGTCAACAAGGGTGCTCAGTCCGTTGAATTCCTGCTCTACAGCCCTGACTCAATCTAAAGGCCAAGCAAATTACGATTCGCACAAGGCCTAGCAACGCAGTGGCTGGGAGAGGGTATCGATAGCCCCCTTAAACCTTAAACGTGTCTGAAAATTGCAATAAATATGCTGCTTTGTTGGCATATGTCAGAAAATGCGATGTTTACCTTCCAAAAAGTAATCTCCCACTGCGCAGCTGGCCAGGCCAAAACGGTTTTAAACTCTACTGATCATCGTAATTGCGCAATGCCTTGATCCATACTCCTTTTAAATAGAAAGAGTTTGATTATTTCTGTCAAAGCTCAAAGTTCTTGTTTTTCTGTAGTTTGAGGCTAGAGTGGTCTTAAAATTTTCTCAAGTAACTCCCCCATCACTTTAGATAGAGTTATCAAGTTGACATTCAGTGATCAGGTATTGCTTCTACAGAGATTCAAGTAGGTAATGTAACTCAACCAAGTGCAATTTTAATAAAAATCCGCATGGTTAAAAAGACTTACAAACTGAATATTAAATTGGTTGTATCTTTTTTTGTTTTTAACCTTGTAACGAAGTTGTTCATGATGGCAACACTATTCTGAATTCGGTCTGTTTGGTTAATGGAAAAATACATCACAAATATGAATAATTTTCCAAAACATAAATTCATGGAGCCCGTTTCTTGATACAAAGGTAAAAAAGGTGGGAAAGAAATTAAATCTAAAATGAGAAAATCAAAAAATATATGCATCTGCTGGAAAAAAAGATTTTTCATTTCCTTTGATAAGGAATACAGTATTTCTTAAAGTAAATTTTCTTTTAACAGCCAATCGATTGAATCTCCTAAGTTGAAAAGTTGAAAGTGGAATACATAAAATAATATACACTTGAATTATGCCAATTAAGCTATTGCACTCTCATAAAGGATTGTACCAAAACAAACAGGATATTTTTGGCTCGATCCTTTTCTCTAATTTTGCTAATTTCAATGTAACTGTAAGAAAACGGTATTTACAAAGGATGACTAACGGCAAACGGTAATTTAAATAATAACCTCTTTTTTGAACGCCCTAGAATATAAAATGCCAGCAAAATTATAAAAACCTTGAAAGAATGTCCAGGGTATTTTTATCTAATATGTTTTACAGTCGTATACACCTACAATTTTTGAAACATTCAAACATACATACAATTTTTGAAACATTAACGTCAGATTTTCAAAGGCAATTTCAGCCATCCCCTTTGCCCTTTGAACAGTGTTGATTTACAATATTTCAAAGAAGAGATTAGGGAGAACTTCTTTCCCTGTGATTTTTATGATGCTCCTAAACTATAAACATTGTCCTGGGAGTAGACGAAGTAGTTTTTAAGAAAAGAAATGAGAAATAAAAAAATACAACGAAATTTTTGAGGGCATTGCAGTTCTTCTAAAAATGAACGAAAAGTACATGTTACGTACCATCTTTCGTAATTCATTGCATATTCAAATTTTGCAGGTAAAATTGCTGTTGAAGGAAGTAGTGAGATATGTAAGCAGCAGGAGGAGAGCTCTTTTCATCTAAGAAAGCTTTCGTCGACTGTCAAGTCGAGCCAAAAGTGTGCTGAGTTGTGTTGCAAGGACAGCAAATGTACAATTCCATTGCAAACAAAGCATCATTGTTATGGAATTGCTTGTGCCAAGAAGGAGCTTTGTCAAGTCATTTTCGAACAACTGAAAAATTTTCAAGGACATCGGGTTGACAAGCGAGAGGCAGAGGATGATGATGACGAAGAACATGACCAAAGTTATTGGCAAAATGACCATGGAAGAGCTCTGAGTATCTACAAAAAACAGGACACTGAATCTGTACACAACGAAACTGTTGAGTCATTTGTCAGCGGAATTGAGAGTACGCAACACGAAGGCAATTTCCCTGCTTTTCTTATTACAAGAGAAAGGCGAAATTTACTTGAAGAAAACAATGGAAAATCGAATAGCAGCTATAACGGAGCAAACAGTAAGTTTTAAAATTTAGAATGATGTTTTACAGGAAATATGTAAATATACAGTTTTGTCTTAAAATTTATCAATATGCTCAATTTTATCGAGCCTTTTCAATTTTTCTAAATTATTCTGCTTAATTGTTTTGAAATCTTGGTCATGTGGCTATTATTTGTTATTCAATTTTTTCTTATAGTTTTAGTAAAAGCAGGTCCCCCTCAGCCGTACTGCTGGCTTAGTTCAAACTTAAAACTTTAGCCAAAATATAGATTGTGTTCGTATGCATGCAAATGAAGTCTTTTTATCATATTAAAAACTGACAAAATTAAGGGACTGTGTAGATTGATGAGAATCATAAGAAGACGGCATTCCACCACAGAGAGCGTAAGCTTTCTCGCCCCGCCTTAATCTATGCGGCCACTTTCACTGGACTACCTTTAATTGATAGCTTACACCACTGTTAGCAATGATGCACTCGTTCTTTGTATATAAAAATGAGTCTTCGACACAACTCCAGATGTTAGGCGCATAACAACCTTGCAAATTTTGAAACGACTGATGAGCAAGAGTTTCAATTTCTTTGCCTTTAGGTTTTATGAACCAAACTACCAAAAACCAGTTTTTTGTTACACTGAATGATTCTGTTTACGATCTGGATGGGAAAAGGCAGACGTTGGTAAAGCGCTCTAGTGCAGATGATGATGATGACGATGATGACGAAGAAAACAGTGACGAAGATGACGTTGATGGTAATGACGACAACAATACGAATGAGACATCCTGCTCCAAGGATTCAAAATTTCATAAATCAACGATTCCAGAGAGAAACAAAAACTACCACCTCAAACGACTAGCAAAAAGATCAACTTCTTTGAGTTCATGCAGCAAAAAATGTTGCAAAACTGACAGCTGCATTTTGTCATTTATCGTTGAAAAGACTTGTCTTGGCATTCTTTGCAATGGCGATGGAGATTGTCACACCAAGAAGGAAAAGCTGCCGGAGATGCATTTTGCGATTTCAACAGTTAAACGTGAAGGTGAGTAGATAACAAGACAGCACGCATTGTAATTGAGCCCATGCTTTAAACCTCCTCCTCCGAAAAAAACGTTGCTTGAAGAGTTTATCACCAATACATGTCAGGGAGGCGAGAATGAAGTTATAAGAAATCTGAAAGAATTTGATGTAACTTTGAACTGACATTTCAGTTGCGCGTTAGCAAAGCCTTGCTCTTATCTGATATTAGCTGCAAAAAATTAGAATGTTGAAAATGGTTTGTCTATTGGAAAATCTTGATCATGATTACGATCAACTGAGAACCATTTGTCCGACATACAGAGCATAGATAAAAATCACTTGACAAATTTTTTCGAATTCTATTATCGAGTTATAAAAAGTAAAGTGAATTATAAGAATTTTCAGCATTAGCTTTTCGCTTCTCATTTTGCTGCAAATATCAAATAGTCTAAAAGAGCAAAAGGTTTGTTAAATTATAGGTCTGCTTTTTCAACAGGAAAATATGATTCTTTCTTTTAAGCTTCTTTGGATGATGACGGAAGTACGGAAAACGATGAGCAAAAGCGGAGTGCAGTTCAGAGCAAAGATGATGAAGATGTGGATGGAGACGTAGATGAAGATGATGAAGATGAAGAAGAGGAAAAAGAAAAGAAGGAAAAGAAGCAGAAGAAGGAGAAAAAGAAAAAGCATGTACAGCGCAGCCATGGAAAAACTCACAGAAAAGAAGAAAAGAAGAAAAAGAAATCTTCAACAAAGCATAATAAAATCGTTCATAAAGAACGCAAAAAAGGCAAAGCAAAGAAACGACATGAGCATAGAAGTTTTAAGAAGAAATCACACCTTGTACACAAACCAAGCAAAAAGGAAAAGGATGAGGAAGATTCTTCTGGATCCGGGCAAACAGAATCATCAAGCAAGCGTCATAGAATCAGCAAAGGAAAATTAGATGAAGAAAATGCTATCGAAAACAGTGAAGATACAGCTTCTGTGGGCAGAAGATACGAAACGATAGCAGATGACGCTAATGTGGAAAGAAATAATGAAATTGAGAAAAAGAATGAATACACAGACGACGTAAAGCATCTTATTTTCGCAAAGAAGCCAAGAAACAGCACGTTGTTTGATGACACTGTAGTTGGATCTGAAAAGGAAGCAAATGATCCAGACGGAGGAGATTCACCTGCAAGAGACGAAGACCCAATTCAGAGGGTTGAGGAAGAGGAACCAGACGATAGGGGTGGGCAACAGGAAGAAAAAGTTCATCTTCCAAACCTAGACGGAGAGCAAGCAGGCATGGGAGACGAGTCAATGAAAATGAGGGAATCGTCTGTCGAGAATGACAAAAGAAGTGACTTAATGGTTGAGCATCGGCAGTACGAGGATGTTGAAGAGAGGCCAGTTGATAATGAAGATGAAGATGGAGATGGAGAGGAGGCTCCTAGAACGAGACATCACCAGAGCAGTAACAGGCATAATAAGCATCATAGATGGCAGCACGATAAATATGTTGACGCCAATCACCATAAGAAAAAACATGATTATTGGGACAGAGGTTCTCATCACCGTACTTTTAGACACAGATCTCACAGCCAAGGCTATTCAAGTCCAAGACAGGAAGAATTTGAAAGAGCAAGATATTTGAATGATGGGCCTAGCCACAAGGACCATTCGAGCATAAAGGAAAACGACGAAGAGCAGCCAGAGACAAGAGATGAACATGCTGTGAAAGATAGTGACGAAACAAGTGGTCACTATGAAGAACAGCCTTCCAGCAAAGTGCTGGCACTCTCACATGACGATAACAGAGGCAGTAAACAACACGCTGGACCTTCAATTAGCCATGAAAAACATTCAAAAGCTTCAAGGAAAAGTCACATTCATAGTTCCAAGAAACATAGGCATAAAGGCAAGAAAAAGGCAAAAGAACCAAAGAAACATCATCAGATGAACAGGGAGGAGGAGTTAATTGCAAAGCTTGAACATCTTGAAGAAAAGATCGAGAAAAAGCAAAAAAATGAAGTTGAAACTCGGAAAGAAAAGATTTTGCAGAAAGTAGAAAAATTAGCAAGTACTCTCGAGAAAAAGACGTCAACAAAATCAAACAGCAAGATAGAAGAAAAGGACGAAGAAAGTTCCGGTCAAGAAGATAGAAAGAAATCAAAATCCAAGTTAGAGAAGAAAGGAGAAACAGTGCCAGACTTGGAGAGCAGCAGACATGCAGCAAAGAAAGAGGATGTAGAGCCCGAGAAAATAGAAATACCACCTAACAACAAGCATAAAAAGAAATCAAAGAAGAAAGGCTCTAAAAAAGAGAGCAAAAATCATCATAATCAAAAGGAAAAGGAGAAGCTAGAGTCAATCAGTAGCAGGTTTATGTCAGGTGAAGGGAGTTCTCTTAATGTGATGCAGCACCAGTCAGAGGCTAGTGGAGTTGGCGAAGACAATGATGGAGTGGAGGCTCACTATCTAGGTTTTGAAAGAGATCATGGAGTAGAAGATAGCAATTGGTCCCAGCGTAATGTTGTCATACCTTATATAAACAAGAAGTCTCATCACGGCTCTCATCAAAAACATGATACATACATGCCTGTACTAAACGAAAATATATTGGATGGTTTAGACAAGATGAGGTATGATAAAAAGGATAAAATTGCAAAACCATCAGATAATGATAAAGTCGAGCTCAAAGGTGAAATCAAGAGAGCTCGCAATTATAAAGAGTTTCTTAAATTGAAAGCCAATGCTGGAAAGCCTGACAAGAAATCAGAGCACCATACAAGAAAGAGCAGTTCAAAATCATCACACAAGAGCAAAAGTAAGAAAGAAGAGTCAAAAGATAAGAAAGGCAGCAACAGTGATAAACTCAAGAAAGAATTTGAAAGATACAAAGCATTTGTCAAAGCTCAGGAAATGGCTATGAGCGGTGAAGGGTCTGGGGACGGTAAAGAAGGTTCGGGGTCAAAAGAAGTTTCAATACCAGTATTATCAGGCAAGAAAAGTAAATCGCATAAGAAAAGCAAGTCTAAAGCTTCACATAAGCACAAGAAATCAAAACACAAGGACAGTAAATCTCACAAGCATAGATCAAGTAAGAAGCATCTGCCCAAAGCTGCCTTAATTTTGGAGGGTTCAGGGAGTAGTGAAAATCTAGTAAGCATCGAAGAGGGTTCTGGAGTGCATGAGAAGAAAGATCATCACGAAAAAACTAAGCATCACAGTAGAAGCAAAAAGAAGCACGTTAAAGTGGAAGGAAATGTAAATGGAAATGAACAGGAAGGTACAGCTTCAAAAAAATCTTATTCGAACATCAGCAATACCAATACTACATTAAGTAATGGTACAAAGGAAGATGAAGAACACAAGACAGAAGTAGAGAAACCAAAGATGTTTCTTGATAGGAAAGAATCTGCCGCCGGTGAAGCACAAGGAAAAAATCATACAATAGAAACAGTACCAGAAAACAGAAATCATTCAAAAACCTCGCATGATGTTCCTACTGCTCATGTAAGCGTGAGCAATAAACTACACGGTGAAGTGATTTCAGAGAGAAACACAACTTGGAAAAATGCCGAATCGAGGTCATCAGCTAACACAACAACCGGAGTTGGCCACAACAGGATACAGAATAGTTTAAACCATGCTCCTTCGAAGTCCTCCAAGGCAATTGCACGTACTAGCGCTGAGAATACAAAGAAGGCCCCTGCCGTTGTCCCAACAACAAAGGCAATAATCACTACAACTATTGCCACGACTGATAAACCACCTTTAAGGGTGCATGTGACATCAACCGCCCTACCTAAAACTACAAGGACTTCTACTACACAAAGAAAGACTCTCCCAGCAACTACAAAACCTCTAACTGCAAAGAAGCGGTTTATGGCTAAAAAGAAACCACATAAAACTACCCCTCCTCCGACGAGAAGGCTTACCACCACAAGCATTCCTACACTTAGTATTTTGACTGGGGATGAAGACGTAGAAGAAGAAAAGAAGGAACCAACATCCAGGAGAAAGATGCCGACGCGACAACATTCTACCAAGACCAAAGAACGTAAAAAACCGTCAAAAACAGACAAAAAGATCAATATAAGCAAAAACACAAGCAAAGTTCACCAAAAGAAAGCGCCGTCGAGGGAAGTTCTTAATCAAAGACTTATTACGACGTCGAAACCAATTTCGTTTGTCCCATCGGTTCCAGTGCAGCCACTCAGCCCAACTGTGAACATTTTCCAAAACAGAGCTATGTCGCAGCAATTGGCTGGACCAGGAGGATCTACAGGAATTCTCGGAGATCTTCAGTTACCAGAACCTCCTGGTACTGGTAATGTAGCTTCAGGACCACCATTTTATGGCCAGCAAGGCATTCCTGCAAGACTTCCTGTTCAAGGACCTCTTGGTCAGATGCAATACCATCAAGGGCAACAAGGAAAGATCTTGAATAATGGTATGATTCAAGGGGCTGGCATTGGAGATCCAAGTTCAAGAAATGACTTTCACAAGACGTTGCAAGGCAGCCATGTCCAGCAAATGCCACCAACGGCCAAAACGTTTCAAACGTTTGATTATGGGGGCAGCTCGCCTTTGCCTAAACCAACAAGCATTCCTCAGAATTACATAACTACTGCCTTAAAGCCTCCAATAGCTCCTTCGCAGAAACAGTTATATAATAAGATTCCAGAGTCACCGCAGAACGTAATTAATAGAATACTAGGAGAGGCACATAAACCCTCTCCCATCCAAGTAATACAACATATATTGAAACCAAAGCAAAAGCAAAAGGACTTATCTGATTTACATCCTGTAAATATGAAGCCAACAATGAACAAAGAGCCTAAAGCCAAAGGCCCCGGTGCAACCAATGTAAATGCTAACAAACCAGAACAAAATCAACATAAGGAGAAACCTCCACCTAAGGTGCCAACAATACCTCGAAAGAAACCATCATCAACAGTAAAGAGGCCCTCTATCAAGCCAAAACCTCCCAGCAAAGGCCAGAAGAAACCCATGGCAAAGCTAAACGATTTTTTCAAAAAGGTCGATAATATACAGCCACAAAAGACGACAGGTAAACATTGTAAACATCTCAAATACTAAAATATACATATACAGATGACCCTATCAAAATAACGAGACAATAATTGTGTCAGTTTGTTAAAGACAATATAATGGCAAGTATTTGAATCATTTGCAAAATGGGATAATGAATTATTTATAAGTTAAACAACAAATTAGCATACCATGGAAAAATTTAGATTAAGGATTCAGCTTAGAAAATCACTATTTACCCATCTAGAGCAAGTTTTTCATCAAGATAAAATCATTTCAATCTTTCAATGTACAATTATATTGAGCTGTCTCAACTAAGAGCATTCGGCTTGTTTCGATTCTAAGATAAAAATCAAAGAATGCTTGTCATAATACTAATATATTTATCAATCCCACCAATAAATCCAACGCAATCTTTCCTAGCTAGTCAGATCTTCCATTCTTTCCGACGCATTTTAGCTGGTGCAAATTCTTTTGACGGTAAAAGGTAGCACGATCTTAGCCAGAGGGGATCAATTTCGTAGATTAACCCCCTTGGGCTGAAGCTCCGACTACTTTGCACTGCCATTGTCTGACAACAAGTGTTCTTTTTGCTCAAGAGAAAATCCTTCGCTGCAGCTTTTGATATATCATCTAATCTTAATGTTATAGCATTACTTACTTTTGAAACTGTCAGCGCTGCTTATACCTCGATGAATTGTTTGAAGGCAAAGGGATTTGTAAAGTTGGGTGATTCACAAAATTTGGACCTTAAGGATGTCTTCGAGAACATTTTCCCGACGTCAAAAGAAATAGATGTTCATTTAGTCTTTTTTCTTGAATTTCATGCCAAGCACCGCTAAAAATGTCGCATATGTGAAAGGTCTGTTAAGCAATTCCCAGCAAAATGTCTATATCAGTTGAGTTTGCATAATGTACTTCTAAAAATATGTTTCATTTTTAAGTAATTTTGTACAGCTGTTAGGAACATTGCACTGGCTAGTGAGTATTTTCAAATTATATCTAAAAGTAAAAGCTTTGTGCTTTTATCAAAATAAAGTTATCTCTTTGGATTGTTTCTTTTTATGGTTAAATAAAACGCCTAAGCAATTTATTCACTTTTCCCCCAATAGAAAAACCAACGAAAGTAACAGTGCCAAAGCCAAATATTCCAAAGAAAAAAGCTCCTGAATCATCTGCTCCAATAAGTCCAAAAGACAAACCAGGTAAGTGGGCTTAAGGCAGGGATAGGCTAACGGAAAATTCTTTCGCTTCAGCAGTTTGTATATTAATAAAGATACAATTTTTAACGATGATAAAACAATTCTACACAACAATCTGTAATACATTAAGTCTCTTCAATTTTTCGATCAAATATTCAAAATCATAATCCTTTTACTAATTTTTTTTCAAAATTTATAGCATTCAAAGATAGATCTTTGGAACTGATTGATTTTGCATTCAAACTTTGATAACTTACAAACAATGCAGTGCGAATCATGGGGATTTAAGGTGTTCGTATATTTTCGGCTAAAAGGCCCTGGTAGCATGAAAGTCTGCAAAAGGATTTACATCTATCTCAAATCATATACCCCTAACTTGAAAGTTCCGTATTGGCTCTCCTTCGCAACAGATAGTAAAGTCTGCACGCAGGCTAATTTTAGAACAATCGGCCACAACCTCTTTATAAAATTGAGGCTGTTGATTGCCGCGAAATTCAACTCAGCTTTAGCAAAGGCAAAATCATGGAGTTCCTTTCATTTTGGATTTCGGAATTTGATATAAATCTGGTAACAAAAAAGATCAAATTTGATTTTTTTCATCTAGTTTTTTAAGCAAAGTAACATTGATATAGCATTAAATCATGTGAACAACTGAACTGGACTCGATACCAGTGTGGATTCGCAGTAGTAAAACAAAGACGTCAGAAATAAATTCTTATACTCTTTTATTTTAGACCACGAAAGCTGATCTCAAAGTGTTAAAAACGACAGAAAGTTCTTTCAGACTATGCTGAAAATATTCTGAATTTCTAAAATATCACTTTTTGACATTTTCATGTTCATTTCGGCACTTTAAATTTTGGTGCTTTCGATTTCAGAAGCTGGCTCTTGCCCTGTGCGACAGAACTTGGAAAATATGGTTCTTTCAAAGGGCAGGAAATCAGGAGAATTCACCAGGATGCAGGGCTACCCCACTCTTGACAAGTGCATTAAGCAGTGCTGCAAAACACCAACATGTGACCTTTTATTTAAATCAGGGGAGGTAAGATTTAAAGTGGAATGTTGAGCAGCTATGCTTTTTAGGCCTAGGCCTTCTATCCATTTCCTGTCATTGGTGTGGAGTACAAGTATATTGATATTTGTCATCTTCTTTACTGTTAGTGTTTAGTTAATACCACTGATCAATTAGCTTAGATGTTTTTATATCGGGCAGGATATTATCATTTAGCATATTTTACAATGTGTCGCTGTCTTTGACATGTAATTGATTTCTTTCTGAAGCACTTCTTGCTCAGTACAATTTCCCAATTTTTTCTTTCAACATTTTCTGATCTAATATCTATAGCTTTGGTGTTTTCTATTTTGCATTTAAATTCTTGTAATCAGAGTGTATTTGCCCCTTCTTTATTATGTACACATAGTTCATACAAAAAGGATTATTAAAAAAGATAAAAATTGTTTCAAACTGAAAGAAAATTTACAATTTATTTTGCCTAAGCATGATAAGAACAAACCCCAGCAAAGCTAACCTTAGCATATGCAGATTAAAAATATACAAGACCAAGAGGCTTGCCCAAAACTAACTTGTATCGAAAAATAAAATCAAACATTGATAAAATCGAATTGAAAGAAGCTTGTGAACTAGCAAAAGATAGGCAATAGCATTTCAATAAGAAACCATGTGTTACACTAAGCAAATTCATTTTAACAAAGTGTTTTATGATGATAATAATAGTTTAGCCGTGGTCCTGCTAAAGAATACAAAAGACAATGTTTCATTTTTTTGAAAGACTTTCTGATTGTTGCTTGATTTTTCTTTTATAGAAACTTGGTCATTCATGTTATGTCACATGTAAACCATTCTCAAGAAAATCACACCCATATTACTTTATTAAAGCCAAAATTCATTTCAAAACATTTCTTCTTCTTATAGGTTTGCTATTTGGTGCATTGCCACAACCATGAGTCCTGTAAAACAGAACCTTTAAAAGAGCCTACAATAAGGACAAGAATAGTTTTTGTGAAAAAGCCAAATACAAATACCCAAACAGGTATTAAATGCTCTTCTTTGTTCACATCAACACAGTACTTTGTTTTTTAATGAAAACCTTTTTAATAATGTTTAATACATCAAAAAGAAATATTCCATGAATTGTAAAGATGGTGGAAAAAATGGAAAAACTTCATCAGGGGTGGGCAGTGCCAGGTAAATGGTTAACAGCTCTTTCTGTGGTCTCCCACATATGACCTGTTGCTTAGTATCTTCAGTTGTTTTGCTGGCTGAATCTGTTATTTATCATATAGCATTATTATAAATCAAGCATTGTTGAATATGTATGAGGTGACATACTGCTGCTGATTGCAGTCAGCTGCTCTTTTCAGATTTATCTGCTGGTCATTGGTTTTGAAATGTAGTGTTACACCTGGAAATGCTGTTCACGAGACTTACCATTTAAACTTGTGTTGTTTGTAAAATATATTTTTATCTTCACTGGGTTATGTTGCAATAGGTTCTTTTAACAAGTTTGGTTGCCTGGTGGTTACCCTGGAAAGCGATTAGTGGTCTCCTGCAACTAAAAACCAGGAGTGCTCAGCAGACTGAATTTTCCACCCCTGTTCATGAACATCCAATGCTGTTTGGGAAGGCAAAGCAAGTTTTCTCCCAATATTTCTGTAAACTGATGATGTAATTTTTGTCTCAGATCTAATCAGTTTATTAAAATTGCACTTTAAATTCTCTAGGTAAGCCAGCTATTTGTCAAGGTGAAAATGCCTTTGGAATCTTGTGGAAAGAAACAAAACCAGGGCACTTTGCCACTCGCTCATGTCCAAGAGAGGCCAAAGGTAGGCAATTTCATATTTTTAAAGCCAAATGAAATAAATTAAGATAAAGAAAGTTGCTTTGAGAAAAGCAAACTTTTTACAACAAATGAAAAGCCATTTTAAAATTTTGTGCAACCAAAAACATTTTCACAATGAAGGTCTTAAAAGTCTTTACTTGCATGGAAACATTTATCACCATTCTGTGATTATGAAGATAAGAGCTGGCAGTCTAGCATTATAAATGCTACCAAAGTAAGGACCACTATAATTCAATATAACAAGCTTGGTAAGATTTTTTATCCACATATTGCTGGCAAAGGTAGGGTATTGAATCTCAGCTTGCAAGGGATATTGGAAAACAGAAAATTGCCTGAGTCGTTTTATTTTTTAAAAGGAGACTCCCTTGCTAGAAAATTTTACAACAGGGATTGTTTTTACTGGGCTTATTGCACAGAGGTGTTGTAGATTTTATGCCTCATTATAAGTCATATTTGTGGCAATTATTAAAAGTAGATAGACAGAGAATTGTTTTACCTGTTCTTGCCATCGCATTGGTGAATTACCAGTTGATGTTATTGGTTGTAGGCTTTGCCAAAAGACAGTGCAATGACCATTCGCAGTGGCTGACACCTGACTTTGGTGGCTGTGTTTCAGATCAGTATACCAACCTCAATGAAGATGTAAGTGCTGCATGTCAATATTTTTGACTAGGTATTATTTATCTGAAGTATTTAGAAATGATCAAAGCAATCTCCAAATTCCATTCTAACTTATTTTGGAGTGTCTGAGTGATGCAAAATGTCTATATATATTTCTTTTTTTCCTGATGTATCAAATATATGTATATGACCAGCGATCTAATGGAAAACATAACCATCAAATTCCATTAGCTTTTCTCGTTATCAAGTTTTCAAGTTTTTTTTTCGAGTAGCTTCCAGTTTTTTATCTTAGCCGACTTATCTTAAATACAAAGTTAGCATAAGAATAGTATTCAAAATGATATATTATTTACAAAAATGCCACGTGACCATTCATACTTTGCAGTGAGAGCAATATGAACTGGATGGTCACAAAGTTGCGACAGTATTTGGTCATCTTTCATTCTCTCGAAGTTCGATTTTATGTTGAAAGTGGCGTCTTTTCTATAAAAATTGTGAACCCATTTTGCTTTCAAATCTACCTAACATCATCTTCGTGCGTTTCAATTGTTATTTATTCACACAGGTAAAACATCTCGGCTTCACTGCAAGCGTCAAAGACGTCCTTGCAAAACTAGAGGAAATAACGACCCAAACAATTGATAATTCCTTGGTTTTTGGTGGGGACATTATCAAGGCATCAAATATTCTAGACGAAGTGTCCAAATTCGTCCAAAAGAATCACGCTGAAAGATTTGGATTTGGGGCTCTTCGGGTAAAATATTGTTTATTTTTTCATGAGAATTTATTCTGCCAATAGAATTCGCTTACCTCTTTCATTTGATCATAATATTAAAATCATTCTCAATTCAGTGTTTATACACGTTCATTCTCTTAGAGTTTTGAAATTATGCTATCTTCTTTGCATGTAATTTATCAGCTAGGAATTTGAGCAGCTGAATATTGCGAAATCCAAAAATGCGTACCCAAATCAGAACCGAAAGGCATATAGCAATTCTTTGTTGCTTTTTTTTGTAGAATTTTGCTCGATCTGCAAGTAATTTGCTTGATGTCACCAATAAGCAAGAATGGGAAAATGTGAATCGTGTAAGTGAATGTCCTACTTCTTAAAGATTATTTGTTACGTTTAAGGCTCAAGTTTATAGAAGAAATATATCTTTGAAGATTTAGGATAAGGTTTAAGGAATAAGTCTATAGGCACAATGATATTGTTATTTTGGACTCAAGAAAAGAGGGCATTCAACAACTGGCGGTATTTTTCAAGGATATTGCGAAATCATATCACATTATGTTTCTTCTACAGTCAATTTTCATTTTCAACTGATTTATTTCTCGTGATTTTCATACCAGCTTTTTGTTGATTTATCTTCGTTTTGGTTCCTGCTTTTAGATGAATTTATTCATCGTTTGTTTCTTTGTGAGACTTACTTTCATGGCTTTCGCAGCTTGTTCTAAACCTAAGCTTGTGAAGAAGATTGCTGGAGGCCAGTTTGACATTAAACGAGTTGTACAGCCCCCCTCTTGTTGGTTAAGAATATGCTATCAAAGAACCTTGAGACGTTTGTGCTCTACGCATTATAACGTATTTCAGCTTGCTTGCTTGTAACGTTAACTGTTACAGATTAGTGTTACAGGCTACTCAAGTGATTTCGGGCTATATTCGCTATGTTTTTCCTAGTACAATTCTACTTTAAATTTACGTTTAATCATTCCTATGAAAACTTTTTTAAATGTTATTAATTTTTTTCCAATTTCTTTAATTAATTGCCATAGTGTGGGTTATTGGCCAACTTAATTTTATAGTAATTTTGTTCCATGCTGCTATATTTTCCATCTTTTTTATATAGTCTTTAAAAGGACCAGGGAAAATCATGAGAGCTCTTGAAAACTTTAGTGTGGTCACTGCTGGCAAGATACCTCCTATCAACAACAACCAACCAATTATCACCAACAATATGGGTAATTTTGTCATTGCTTCTGGCCCTGCTACTTTTGTGTGTATTCTTGATATGGCTTTCTTACAAAATAATAATTACCCGCATTGAGATTTTCAACCGACGTTTCGTGTTGTGCCTTAATTTGATATAAGTCCGTGAAGGGTTTGGAGTTAGGATTGTTTTTTTGATAATGAATTTTACATGCATATGCCTATTTTGATTTAAAACACATCAACATCAAATTGTTTCTATGCTAGTGTTTTGTCATTAATACCCTTCCTATCACGCCTTGCACACTGTTAGCGTACGAAATCTTGCTAATTACCCAACCAATGAAGATTGAGCTGATATTGCCTATTCCTCCTGGTACAAAGTAATCATGGATCTCGACAGTATGACTGCTCGTTCTTATAACGAATTTATTGAATTTCTCACAAATACCGAATGATGCAAAGTTGTTATCATAATTTTTTTATTCTTTTAGTATTGTCAGTTGCACGTCACTCGAGAAGCCAGAAGTACGTCTTTCCAAATTACAGCATGCCTTTTCTCAAGAGATGGACAACCAAAAAAGACCAGATAATTCTGCCTGGACATTTGTTTAAGGCCGGTTAGTCTCCCCTTTTCTGCTCATTTTCCATCGTTTTATAAAGTAGCACGGAACAGCGAAACATAGCAATTTTAAATACTTTTTACCCGAAACGTCACGAAGTATAAAAGTTAAGAAAATGGCAAAATAATAGGCGGAAGTCTACACCATCCAGGTGCGGATCGAGAAAGGACTCGTTTGACTGACTCTTTCTTTTATATTTATCATAACTGCAAGCCTATTGTCAGTATTTATTTCAACTATACACAGTGGCTCCACCTCATGTCTCCACTCCATTTGCATATATCAAAGAGCCATTAAGTGAAAACTTATTATTCGTTGTCAACTGTCTTCTATTCATTCAATTTTGTGCAAGTACTCTAGCCTGGGCGCTTTGAGAGAACTATTGTATTGGCGGAATTACTATTGTATTGTAAGTAGTAACTCTAATTTTCATAGTGACCAGTTTTTAGCTGCCAGAAATATGCTGAAAAGCAATACCTCTTACATCTTACATCTAGATGAGCCTATAATGCTATTGGCTATAAAGTTTTCTTGTTTGATTGAAGCTGCTTTGTAGATAAAGAAATTCAGTGTATTGTTAGGTACAATTTCCTGGATATCTACGCTAGTTCTATTTACAGTAGTGGTCTTGGATTACACTGGAATCACTCTACCCTTTTTAGACTCTCCAGTTCAATGCTATTCCCTTTTTTGCTAGTTTTCTGGAATATAAATGTAACTTGACATTTCATGAGCCCAACTTCATTTGATTCTTCAGTCTATGCAAATACTGTTTTGGCTATGTTTTTCACAAAATTGTTACTCAGAGCATAAAACGTAAGAATAAGGGTCTGAAAGAACACAATGAGAAATATATACCCAGTTGTGAATCGAAATAGGCCAATCTGAAAAATGCAAGCACAAGACCGGTATAGTTGACCAATCAGTGCCGCGTGCCTAAAGAAAAATTACCACTGGAATCCAAGAAAGAAATGAACTCCTTCTGTTTACACAATGGCAGCTTTTTCGTCTGTTAGTAGATCGATTCTAAAACTGCTAGATGGAAAGACGACCGGGCTCTGCCAATTATCCGAAACATGTTGTCATATATATTTTTCATCGTGTTCTTTTGGACCCTTATTCTGACGTTTTATGCTCTGAGGAGTGTCAGAAGAAGAAGCTTTTAGCCAATATGCTGTAAAGTGTTTGCTTTTTTCAAAGCCATTTCAAATCTTTATAAGCCAACTTTAGGCTCGACAAAAACATCCCAGCTGTCTAAAATTCTATATTCAGCCATTATCCATCATGCTGTCATGAAAAACGTTTATCTTTCTCGGTTGACAAGTGAATTGTTAGTAGAAATAGTTTTTAACTTGAAAGTTTTTCCCACAGGAGTCGTTAAGGTAGCCAGTGTCAACTACAAAAATTTAGCACCGCTTCTCCCTCATCAATGGAATTCAAACAAGTGAGTTTGTCAAACAGACATCCTTATTTTTTTCAATATTCAATATTTTTTTGCTTTTCCTTCCAATAAATTCATGCTATTTTCTCCAAAATGGCACTCAAAGAAATTTTTGCAAGATTTTCATTGATCATTTATGTTTTCAAGTTTCGTTTACTGCTAACCCTGGACAAGTCATGTTAAGTCTTTCCCTTTTCTTAAAAGGAAGCTATTAGCTACTGAATAAATTTGAGCTAAATTTCTTCCAATATCTTTTAAAAAGTTAGATAAGTTATCATTCTGAAGAAATTGGATTATATATTCGTCAGTTTAATGTTTATTACGTATGCACTTTGAGTTCTATCTTGATGGAATTTACGAATCTCTATCTTCTCCAAGTCTACAAACCATAGCTATTTCTCAAATATATGGTAATTTAGAAACATTACAATCCTTTTTTGAATGGAATGAAAGAAGGATGTCGATACTTTGGATTCAACACTCATGGAAAAGTACCAAACTGTTAGAAATTTGTGTCTTTGGTAAAAATTTAGCACACGCATGGTATTGGTAAGCAAAAAGTACGAATGAAAATTCCGGAGGTAGAAGAGTAAAATTGTGTAATTTCTTAGACACAAAATTGTTTAACTCCTTTTTCTCGGGCCTAATAACAATAGAAAGCTCTTACGATTATTGATGATCGAGTCGAGACATACAGCGGGACGTTGCCTCTTCCTTTCTTGTTTGTTTCTATTTGCTTGGTCAGCTATACACTCATTGCATTAATTTTCGAAATTATAGCGTAATTTCCGTTGATCCTCTTAGCCACGTGACCTTCACAGACGGCTTTCGTGTGAATAGCAAAGTCATTGCTACCTCGATACGACCGGAACCAACCAAGAAGATCGATCCTCCAGTCACAATAATTTTGCATCATCTGAAGGTATTCCGTTTCTCTAAAATAATCCTTGGAGCATTAGCAAATAATTTTGTATCAGCTGTAATGTAATGTTAACATAACTATTAACGATTTAGCTATTACCGTTGTTTCTTGTACACATATCCAGTATAACCAGTTCCATTAAAAGTTAGCTTTTCTGCTAATTAGCTAAAGCTAGAAAGAGCCCCTCTCACTACTGATAACATGTTTGGCGTGGAACTGTGTAAACGAATATGATACCCCAGATCAGGAGACTTAAGCCATACTTTTATCATCCATTTGTTGCTCCTGTGGACTATGACTCAAATATTTCCTTAAGTGAATGAGCTGGTTTTTGCTTTGCTTTTGAATTACTGCTTTGCAATTTTGGAAATAATTTAAAATTTTATGTTCTTTGTATTTGTTACGCAGGAGAGCAATTCAGCGAGGACCAAATGTGTCTATTGGGATTTTAATTCAAAGTAAGTAAATGCTATAGGGGACAAACCACGTGACATTCAGACTTGTGTTTGATTTTCGCTTTTTCCCTTAGATAGGCTGCTCTGAATAATGATTGCAAAACATGGCACGTCATAATGTATTTTGTATTGAAATTTTATAATAGCCTTTAAAAGTTTTGGCGTATTTATATTTCTGATTTTTTTTAGATTTACAGCTTCGTTGATCTATTTTTCGCTTTATTGTAAATTTTTCTGTTTTGTCGAGCGTAAGATAAATGTGACAGGTATTTTATAAATCGGCATGGGGAAACGACAATGCTTGCCATAAGTACTTGGATCATCTAAGCAGTTTCAGTCAGCTCTCGATCTAGTTTCCATTCACGCCTATTGAATTGCATGATTTTTTTCCTTTCCTATAAACAATGTTGGATTTCCACCTCAGTCACCTCCTAGTTTCAAAATCGCAGGTTATATTCAAACAGTGTATTTCTATAGAGAATAATCCAACATTTTTGAAAGGGAAGGGGGAAACAGCAAATGTTGATGGCAAAAATGCTGTTGATGTTCCAAAACTTTGGCATGCATTGTACGTTTTCAAGTTGATCTTTTCTTTAGACTTAAAATTGATGATTGAATAGGTTTTATTAGTAGTAAAATTTAAACAGATAATTGAATGTTTATACCATAGCCCTCAAAATGGCGGAGGCTGGTCATCAAATGGATGTTGGGTGGTTACAAGCAATTCAACGGTTACCGTCTGTCAGTGTGAACACCTGACTCATTTTGCTGTCCTAATGAACCTCAGCGATGAAGATAGGGTATGAAAATTAACCTTTTGATGTTCGATTTGTGAATGAACTTGTGATTCTGTATCTGAGCATTTATAAACGAATTAAATAGTGGTTTCTAGGCAGCATTGTATTTTTTTGACAGTTTCATGACTGTTTGATAAAGTACTGTATTTAGAATTGACTCACTCTATCGACCTTATAAGTTCTTTTCCATACAATTGTCTAAATAAGCCTTTTGGACTAAATAAGTTTCAAGATATCAGGGAAAGCGAAAACATATCCTACTGAAATACTTTTGGTCCGGACACTTTAGAGTATGAGCTTTGGATGAGAAGCAAAAGGGTAAGCAGACGTTTCTTTGGATCGAAAGTAACGTGAAAGGAAGAGTGTTGTCTTCGATTGGCTCCTTGAATGCATGTTTTTTCGATCCGTATCTGGATACATGTTTCTCTCTACCTTTGGTAATTATCTGTTCTTTATATTCTGAGGATAAAGAGTATTTCTGTATGATATGTTTCTGCATAACTCTGCTATTTCAAAACATGTTAATTTGGCTCGATAAAAATACTGTTATAGTGCTATCTACCAGTACCTTCCCCGGGATCTACTCCATTTCTCAAAATCGGTATGTATTCTTGTATCATTGATACGTCAAAAGATGTCATAAGCAATATATTTTGCTTGATTGTGACAGTATGACAAGATGGCTCAAAGTTACTAGTCTGTGTCTCACGCTTTGTGATATCTTTGTCCAATTCAAGAGCATCTTACTTTTCGCCAACATTGACCAACAAAACTTGGTTAATCAAACTTTCAGTGTTAGCCCAAATGTAGTTATTTTAAAATAGCTTTGAATGTTTGAATTCTGATTGACAGGTGTCAGCGAAAGAACAAGCCAAAGAGAACACATTTGCTCTGATGTGGCTTGGTATCCCAGTTATTGTAGTGCTGTCAGTTGGGGCCATGTACACGTGCTTTGCCTGGTAGGTCTATAAAACTCCGTAGCTGTCCCTTCCTTCTGTTCTCCGTTAATCAGCTCTTGTTTCATTCCAGACTCGTGACATCTTTTCTAGAATGTTTTCCTTTTCAAAACTACAGTTAAAATGCATTTACTTGTGCTCTCTGTTTTGGGATTCTATAATAATCTGGTGTACTTGCAGTACATCCAATTGTTCTTTTGTGTAATGCATGTACTAATTTCCCACTGTCTTAAGTGCATCTTTAGTTTTTAGTCATTATCTATTTCAATTTCGTTAAGGTTAATTTTAAGAAACCCTTGGTTCTGCTACTGTTATTTCAATGTACACCGTAATGTTAACAAATCATTCTATTGAGCCAAAGATTTTTAGACGTCTTGCTCTCGAATCCAAAAATGTACATGTCTTGCAATGTCCAAAGTAGTGAAATTTTTTTTCAATTTTTTCAAAGCAGTAAGTATTTAAAAGATATTTGCATTGTTTGAAATTGAGTTGTCTTCTGGCTTTAGGTCGAAAGCTCCGAGAAGACGCCACGTAGGTGAGTATATTTTTTCTCCTATTAGGGTCACGTCGCCTTCATTGAGTATACCTGGATTCAAATTCAAATTTTTCTATTTGACGTACATTTACATATAAAATTTGGCACTGATAAAATCTTTCAGGCCTCTCAGATATATGTTTGATTTCTATACCCCTGCCAATTTTGACGAAAGATGAGTAACGAAATAAGGTTCGTTTAAAAGTAGCAAAGTTTTTCATTCTTCTCAACAGAGCAAATTTTTTGTAGATAAGTCTTCCAGTATACCGGAAGTACTTCTTTACTCTACTGGCAGTATAGGTGCTTTAAACGAATAAGATCGTTTTTAGAAATAATTGTTAATTTTCCAATGTCTAGTGTTGTAGGTACGTGGGTTCCCAATTTATCCAGTTGACTGAACTAACCGGCTAGCACAACTAGAAATTCGAGATGTAATTCAATGCAGTTTTTATTCTGCTTTATCATTATGGCTTATTAAAATCATCTTTAGAATCGCTAGGATCAATGTAAAATAATAAGTTATTTTTCTTCTGCAGTTGTAAAAGATGGCAAACCAAAATTACCTGAGGACGAAGTTATTGTGACGAATACCGTAAAAGAAGATTTCCCTGGCTCTCCAAATCGTTACCTGTATTCTTCCTACACATCACCAAGTCCATCAGATTTAGAATGGGAGCACGTTTGGGATTTTCTAACGAACTCAGAATTTGAAAACTGGCAATGCACAGAAAAATTCAAACGCAGACGACCGAGGAGAAGGAGGCTGGATCTGCGGCCTTCCAGGCTACTAAGGGGGCGCAAAAATAAGTTGAAAGATAAATTTGAAACGAGTGAATATTTCTCAGAAGGAGACAGCTCGTCTGCAAGATGGAAGCACCAGGATGACAATGAGTGGTCTCGAGAGAGAATTAAATGCCTTGGCAAAAAGGCGATTGACATTGAGAGTGAGGCATCGCAGCCTGTTGACTCTTTAGTAAGTTTTAATGCTTGCTGTTATAAATATCTAATGATATCAGAACTGATATCTAATGATATCAGAACTGATATCTAATGATATCAGAACTGATATCTAATGATATCAAAAATGTTACACAGAGATTTGTAAGCACTATTTTGCCTTTCATTTACTTTTATTGACATTCTAGTTGCAGCTTTTAAACTGCACAGTAACAGTGGCCTTGCATCGGTATTTTATTTGAAGAAAGATCGTCAGCTACATCCATATTAGCGTAATGTTTAATCTTTTTCCGCTGAGCCTTACTTGGAAGATTTGCAGTAGATTCCTATTATACTGTAAACCCATATTTCCTTTCAATTCTGAACACCTATAAAGAATTTCAATACATCCCCTACATTATTTTTTCTCAATAATATCAATTTGCATTTTAGGAGGAGTTCTCTGACGTCACTTCAGTTGCTGATTCAAAAGACGGTGACAAGTGCAGCAATAGTTTCGACCACTTTTCTCCTGATGCAATCAGCTCTCCGCACGCCGGATACAGATCTGATTCTAAATATTACAGTTTTGTTTACAGGTCAAATCTTAATTTGAAAGATCGTGAGCAAATTCATCTCTCATTCAAAGCCAAGAGTAGACTTGCTAGTGAGCGGAATACATTGTATTCATCATGCTCTTCTCTTGAGACGATTCATAGACAACAACCTTCCAGGATTCATAAAACAAAGTATGCCTCAACATCCTGTCTCGTTACGATCGGAAGGAGAAGCAAAACGAGGCTTGTAGATAGAAAATGGAGCTCGAAGATCTCATTAGCATCATCGATGAGGACTGTTCTGTCATCAGGGTTTTTAGATAAGACTTGGAGCTCGAAATATGCATCCAGTTTATCAATCAGCACACTGACTCGATCGGTTTCTACTAAAACAATCAATGATGATGTAGATTGTTATCATTCTGGTTGCGAAAATTCAGTTTTCGAGAACTTGTCTTCCGAGCAAGGTTACGGCACGTTCGAATCTAGTGCTGCATTGAGTAATGATATCATGGATATGAATATAACATCTAGTGACACCGGGCTAGTAGAGAATGGTCATGCCAATATATCGAATGGTTCGATAAGTAGCAATATACCTACCTATGATATGAATTTGCTGACACCGAGCAAAAAGCCAATAGGAGCCATCGAAAAACCAATTGAGTCGTCTTCTCTTGATAATTCTTGGATGGATGACTTTGAAAAAGATTTGAAAAATTTTGAGAGTTTACTGTGCGAGAGTTCTCAGATTCCTGCTGTAGACAGAGTTTTGAGTGACTGGCAAGAGAAAAGCAAAGCCTTTCTCGAAGATACTTATATCATGAACATGGATCTGATTGGGAATGATACGCAAGTAAGTGGATCAGCCAACAGTATCAATTCGCTGCCGGATGCAAATGGAATTGCGGAGGATAATATCTTTTCTGATGCCATTCACAAGACAAATACATTAAATACATTGAGCTGCTCGTCAATTGCATTTTCTTCAGAAGACCTTGGTATTGATATGCGGACAGGCAGTTATGAAGATGAATCTTTAATTCCTGGAATTTCTAGCTCTGATGAAAAGCAATTTTCAAGTTCCGCCTACCTCAAGACGCATTCAGTTGAGAACTTTGGAGACATTGAAACGGAATCAGAGCATGAAACAATCTTACAAAATGTTAATAAGCAGAAAACACCTAACAAAGGGAAGATAGTTTCACAAAAGAGAGGTTGTCATCAGAACCGAGTTGTGAGCTTCCCACGGACTTCCACAGTTAAAAGAAAGACAAAAGTTCTGAAAAAGAAGATCGAGAGAACCCCATTGGCCACAACAGGGCTCAGTGTCAGATCCCCTACTAAGCATATGCGTAGTTACATAGTCTTACGTCAGCAGTCCCGTTACTCTGAGAATGAGAGGAGTACGGTCACTATTGAGAGGCAAGAGAGCCTCTCTGGTAGCGAAAGTAGATGCATCAGACGAGTGAATAAAGCAGGCACAAGAAAACCTGGCCGACGCGCCAATGTTACTGACGTTGCTAGCAACCAAGAAGAGAATCAAGCATGTGAACAAGCCAGTCCATGCCAAGAGAACCGGACTTTTGAAAAGGAGAGTGATCAGTCTTTGGAAGATGACGTAAGGATAACCAGCCGTAATGAATCTGAGGGAAGTGATCACGATCTTTTGTTGGCTGTTAAAATAGAGGTAGAAGAAGAAGAAAAGCTGAGCAAAACAATAGAAAGTTGTCTGAAAGGAACCAAAGATGATGTTAGTAGTTTGAAACACATTTGCACTTATTCCTGAAACATTTAGTGTTGTGAAAATGCTTAATAATTTAGCTGCATGCATCTTGCTGTACTTTTTCCCGCAGTTTGATGTATTTCTGGGGTTTTGAATTGGGTGTTGAAATTTTGCTCATATATGTTTTTGGAACCAGGATTTCTGATTGCTTATGTTTCGTATTCAGTATGCCTATAATCATTTATTCGTTTTAAAAATAATTAAGCCATTTTTAAGGCAAAGGATCAATTAAAGCTTCAATTAAAAGTTCACTATAAGATAATAGTTATTTATTGAAATGTCAATATTTTGATATATCTTTTAGCTCATTTAATGACTGTCATTATTTTGAAGTAGAAAAAGCCTCGAAATATTACTTTGTAACTATTTGTAGATCTTTCTTAGTAACAAATTTAGAGGCTTTGATCAAAAAATATTTTCACCTAAAAATTCTTTGTTTATCACTTGAAGAAAATGTAGGAACTCCATTACTTGCTGATAAAAAAATAAAGATGGATAGCAGTATTAATGATAGCCTGCAAGCTGAAAAATCTTTTTGATAAGCTAGCTTAGTCACATGTCATAAATAAATCATGTACAATATGTACGGTTATTTGCAAGAACTTTTGATTATCATATTTGAGAACAGTCCCTGACTAAAGCTGTGTATACGATCGTCAAAATCCCCGCCCTTCCCATGCCTATTCAAATTCGGTCCCTATGCTATCAAGTAACAGATATAGCAAAAATGTACTAATGGGAATTGCGAAATCTCGACACCGTTTATCCGATATTATAGGTGTAGTTTGATATCTTTTAAGTAGCTTCTGTCGTAGTATTTGGTGTTTTGTCCCTGCCTTAGATCAGATAACTTTAAATCCAAGTTGTTTCTTATTGCCAGGCTCCAAAGACACGGGTGACATTCACTGGTTTAGATGACGTCACAGTTGCTGGAGACAGTGAGGACGATATTCGTCGGAGCGTTGAATCGAGGTGAGATAAAACATTTTGAAAGAAGATATTCAGAAATTATTATCACTAGGGTTATTTTCATTATTGAAGCTACTGTATTGTACGGATTTTAATGTAGGTTTTGCTGTGGAACATTTTTATTTTGCAAATGTATGGGGGAAAATAATGGAGCACTCCTTAACTTCAGAGATTCACTTAAGGTCCAAATGCTGCTTTGGCTATTTTCGCTATTTTCAACCATTTTTGCCAGTGAAATAGTTGATTTGGGTTGCTGGAGGTTACCTGGTGGCTGGTTTGTGATCTGGCTGAGTTCACTTCTTTGCTATTGGCAATAAGAAATCAGTGACGAGAAAATCATCATTTGATGGCTATATATGTAAATAAATGAATACTCGTTAACCTAGGTATTAAAAATCTATTTTGCAAAATACGTTAGTCTACTACTGGCAAGGAAATCTATCTTTTCTATTTCTTCTTCTCAAATCTTAAAACCTATCGATCAACAGCGTGTTTCCTTTTTTGTACCTTTTTTATTTGTTATTGCTATTAAGATAAAATGCCCAAAAACTTTGCATTAACTTTTTTCACGTAAAGTATCCTCTCTCACCTATACGATTGTTTCACTTTCAATTTTTTGTGAGGGAGTTTAATATTTGGAAATGAAGAAAAAATAAGATTGGTATTTACTGCTTAAACATGATAACTCTTTTGTTGGCTTTAACTGGACTTTTTTCACTAACTATCTTTGTATGGTATTTGTTAAAAGAATAAAAAATACAATTTTTTTGCGACTTAATAATTTCGTCAATAAAAAAATTAAACAGTTTTTTATCTGAAATATTTTTATCTGAAGAGTTAGATGAAATATAATAACTTTCTTAAATTTAACAATTTATAACATGAGGTTAATTGGTTTATGAAAATATTTGTTTTTAGTGTATTTGGTTCAACTTTGAGAAGATGGCGAGGACGATCAAGGCTATACTCATTTCAACGTAGTGATAAAGATTTATTGAAAGAATAAATAAGTTAAATGCTCAATATTGTTAAATATTTTTAAGACCCTTCAAAATGGCAAAATAAAATCTGTTCTAAATCGTGTAAGGTGTTATCTGGACCTAAAAATAATGATATAAATATGCTGCTTAATATCACAAAATGGTACAAAATTATTGAAAGAGTTAATGTATACATAAATTGAATGCTTGCTATGATTGAATACCTTAGAAGATGTTATGCTCAATTCTGGTAAAACTTTATTTAAACATTAAATGAATACATAAATAGATGCTTGGATATTATGGAAGATGTTGCAAAATAACTAGATATAATTTGCATTTAACCCAATCAAGAGAGAGCTGAAAAAAGTTATGGATATATTTATTTGGTGCTTTATGTCATTTCTTTAAGTTCAGGCTTGTAACTAATAGACTAAGCAACATAAAAGTGGAATTTATGCCAAACAAAGCGTATATATATGCGAGCTAACAACGAAGGATTTGTTTTTGACACAAGTGATGTATCTGGCAGCGAAAAAACTGGCAATACTACGTATATTAGCTTCTTCATTTTTACTGCCTCGTGCTTAAATTAGTTGTAAATAGTTATTTAACAATTTTTTTTCGACTAAACATGTTTTTATCTTGTAACTGTATTCTGTATCAAATGTCAATCTTTTTAAATGCATGTCTATTGCAACCATTAAAAAGAGAGCATATTAAAACTAGTACAGTGCATAATATTTTATCCTGCGAGTAGATTTATTTATATCCATCTTTCAAATAAAACTTAAAGGCAGAAAGTAGTTTTATTATCGTAAATGATAAAACCAGTCCTACAAAAATATAAGGCGAAAAAGTGAAATAAAATTACCTTCTAGTGAACCCATTACATCACAACCAAAACATTTATATTGACAAAGTAATCATTTTTCTTATCAACTTCTGAATTAGATGGTTGTAAAGAGTGAAATTTACATTTATATTAGATAGTTATTAATGTAAATATTAATTCTACGAATTAGATTACAGGAATTTGACGACTTTTGTTTTTTTTGGACCACTCACTTTACTCTGCTTTTACCAAGGCATATTGGTGAAGTGTCTTTTCTTAAGCACTTAAATCTTCTGTTTAAAATTTTTTTTTTCGAATGATTCTGAAGAAGCTTACAGCGAAACGTCAATGTTTATTGAGCATATATATATATAAATCGAACAAAAGTAAGACGTAGGTGCTAGTAAACAAATATGCGAGATGACTGCCGACTAGTTTTGACCATAGGCCGTAATCATGACAAACTAAATGTTACGGAATTTTGATTTACGTTCTTTATTGATTACTTGATATATGTGACATTTGATTAATACATTGATAGATATCCTAAACCCATACCCTGGGAATGAGACAATCAAATTGAGAATGAATGAATGATAAAACAGGGTATAAAAGGGGTATTTATTTGTCAAAGTTTGGAAAAGGATGATTGATTATTTGGTTGAGGCCAAGTGGGGTTAGGGTTTTAAGTTTTTGTATCCAGATATCCTTTCTTTTATATATATATATAGAAATTTGTCTTTTGATACTTCCGTAGTGCAGTGCTTAATACGTTAGCACGATTAAAGCAATGAAATTGGCTGCACCTTCTTTCGGTTCTGTGAAATTCTTTTTGCACTGTGGATTTTATTCTGTTTGCAATAAAAAATTTCAGAAAGATGAAATTTCCACGCAAAAAGTGATGATGTCTCAGTTAAAATTTTTACATGTAACTTTTTTATTTACTGGTTTTCATATCCAATTTTGTTGTTGTTGAAGCCAGTATGTTTCTTTGATATTTTATTGATATTTTTCGCGACTTATCGACTCCAATATTAATTAGAGTACGATAAAAATTTGGCATCTATTACTGCATCTCAATTTCTCCAATAGATTGTTTTCATTTTAATGCAACAACCTCAGATGATAAAGTTCCAAGGATGTTTATATGTGTGAAGAATTCCACAGGCCTCGTTTTCACAAGCAATGTTTCCTAAATTCGCGTGTCTCATTCTATCAATTCTCAAGAATCCCATTTATAGATCGAGGTTTTGAGACCACCTGTCTAATTTGATCTCCCATGATTAACGTTGATTTTGGTACCGATATCGTTTAGTTTTTATCAGTGTTGCGGTGTTGTTTAATTGTTCTGCAATCATTCAGTTTGAACCGAAAACCCACAGCTATTAATGAGGTAGTCAGGGTCAGTCAGGATAGCAGAATCTGAATTTATATTTTGCCTTGGAACTATTTATATTTTGAAAGAAATCTCTGTTACCTTGCTTTATTTGCTTTGCTAGATAACTATTCTTCATTCGATGTTCTTCTTCCTACCTTGGTAGAATATTCAGTAACCACTATCAAAATGCTTTGCATTGACAGTGCTGACACAAGAAAAACAAACCTAGATGTAGAATTTCTATTCATTATCGGTCAAGTTTCTATTACCCATGTGTAAAATGAGAGAAAAAATGACTTTACAAATATCTAAGAAATAAACATTGGTTTCCACTTCTGTTCAGTTTTGACATAACCTGCCAAGGACACTCATTTAACCTTTGTAATCAATGATTGGATCTTTTCTTGCACGAAAATGAATAGAGTTTCTGGTGCTAGGACACTTTACAGAATCTTCAAAAACGCCATGTGCAGCTGGCCTGAGTGTGGTAAACATTTTGTTGCTAGCGTTTTTCTCAATGAAGGAAATACTAAAAAGCATCACTGTTTTTCTTGATATCTATTTCAATTGATAGTTACTTCGTTGCATTTTTTGGGCTTTCTTTTCGTTATCTTAGGCCGAATCCCGGTTTCCACTTTCATCGCTTTGCTTGGGCGTGGCGCTACAGGTGGAAGCGAATCTTTGAATCGGCAAAGCGGCAAACGCGACCAGTTGCTCAAGAGTTTGATTCGCAGCGAAGGAGGAAGTTGGAGTTTACGCATGGACAAAAGTGCATTCGTTTTGTCGCACGACTAATTCAAGTGGAAACCGGTCTTAGGAAATCTCTCCTTAACGGAACTACATAAAGCTTTAAAGATTATGCTAGCTTCGCATGTGTAGCCTTTAAATGACTCCTGTATGTTTTGTTTCGGTCAAACGGGCAAAAAATTTATATGCAAAAATATGATGTTTCCAGTGTCCACTTTGGGAAGTATGAGAAATAATCTACAGCTCGCGAATCTCTACCAAACATTCGAGTCATGGCCACCAGTAATCGAGCTACAGTACCTTTGCGCTCAGAAGAAACGTTTTTCTTCTGATAAATGCTCAGTTTACCCAAAACTGCGCAACTTCAAGCTAGCTTTTCAAAAGCCATTCTTTACTGAGCTACAACTGATTTTCTTAAGCAACCTTGTTACTTCACAGTGCAAGCAGTGACTGATATTTACAATCTAAATAGGAAGACTAACCTATACTGCTCTATTGACAAGATAAAGTATCAAAAGGATTCAGTGCTAGGGCCTATGCCACCTGATGATAAAATAACCAAACATTTGCTTGGAATAACTTCTGACGTAATCATGTTAGCAAATAGAGACGTGTCATTCTGGTCTTTTTGATAAAGCAATGAATTGCGGTGAAGAAAGAGATTGCTGTGAACTTTTCCAAGCAATCGTACGATCGTTGGTGTTGAATGTTTGATTGGTTTGTGATGAAGAGCATAGCTTGCACAATGACTTCTTTTTTAATGCGTGTATTGGTTTAACAATCTTATGAGCATCACTAGCATGGCCCAGCATGCTGTAAATTAAAGGAACACGTGAAATAGTAAATAGCTCTTGAGAAATTGTGATTAACCTGGGCTTCTAGCGATCAGCTACTCGCAGACCACGGCTTGATCTATAGATGGTCTATTGATTAATTATTAAGGGAGTATTCACCTTTGAGTTGAATTGATCAGGTCCTATTGAGAGGATCAGCTGACCTACTAGTTTACAAGCTATTCTTACACAATTGATAAACATCACAAACATTTATAAATGTCGCATTCATTGACAACGAGTTATCAGAGTGTTTGAATGGCAAGAGTTTTGTTTCAGAAAATCCGCTAAGGTCATGCGGAGGCATGTGGTTAAATGCTGCGGAGGCGATCTGTTGATACATAACGGTACCAACTAGTGGCTCGTGAAAAATCCGCACAACCACAAGCTTCTTTTTTTTTGAATAGAAATACGTATCTTGAGTCAATCGTTATTGTAGTTGTGAAAACCCCTGAAAATTGGTCTCTACTACTGTGTGTAGCTGAGAAATTGAAGGGCATACACTAAAGAAGTCAATATTGTTGCTCCTTATACTTGATTTTATTTCTAAATATAATGCTAATTTACAATATTTCAGGTTTCCAGGCTCTCTCGAGCAAGAAACTTTCACTGTCATTCACTGTAAATCCAAATTTCTTACCCTAATACTCTTGGTGTTTTACTGAAGAAACTTAATCAATGATTTCTAGCTTTCGGACAGGTTCATTGCATCTTTCGTTGGCCATGTCAAAAAGATCCCTAAAAGGTAATGGAACTGCAGTATTTCAGTAGGTATCAGAGCAAAAAAAGGCTGAATGTTTTCCTATAGCCGTAGAATGTACTGATAAGGTACCAGTGTCTACTTGGTAGCCTAATTAGGGATACTTTCGGTACCATACCCACCCTTAAACATAACAACATAGACATTGATAGTCCAGGATCTGAAGAACTCACTCCCTCCTCGTTTCGAATTCAGACACTTGCATAAACTTCGTATAAAGATTTTGTTTACTAAATTGTAGTTGCTCATTCGAAAGGAGACTTGCCACCCATAAATTCCTTGAGCAGACCTGTAATTGAATAAGCTTTAAACATGATTTATCATCCGTTATGACATCATCAGTACCAAAGGTGTTAAAATTCTGGTACAAACCACATATATTAAGCCTAATAGCAAACAAGTTCTTATCCTTCTTAAACCAGAAATACTTTTATGGCTCCGGACATTAGCGATAGAGATAGAGAAAGTCAGTGTTAATAGATCATAACGGACAACCGATTAAGGCTCGAGATTGGTCATATATGGATGAATTGCAACAACGGCAAGATACAAAGATGTCGGGGTGTCTACGTGCATGAAAATGGAATCTCTAATCTTTTATCGAGATCATCAATCAGGTTTGTGATGAAGCTACCGCAAAGACTGTGTCAATTTCTTAGAGTGCGAGCCAGACTCTTATCAGGGATTATTAAAGCTCAGATTGGACCGTTATGTGCATTCATTTATTAATTCTAAACAGACCCAGCATTGTTAGTGTAAGCGACATAATGTAGACATCAAAACAGCGATATGCATAGATCTTCACCCTTGGGTGGTGGAAGACCCAAACAATGGGACAGTGTTTAGCGTGAAGTTACACTGGTTCTTTTAGACACAGATCCTCCAATACCTAATTTTCAATTTATGTCAATGAACTACACATTTATCTGAACTCTAATTGATAGAAAAATATCTAAACTCATTGCTATACAGAGCTGAATGTCTATGCATGCCAGCTACATTTAGTATTTCCCAAAGTTTAAAGTTTTCGATACGGAATTGGAATACGATAGATACTTCAGCTTGCCTTTTTCAACATCTTATCGAAGATTTCGCCAGATATTTGGTTTTGAGTTTGATTTTATAATAGCTTAAGTTGATGTTTGCTGATCTACCCAAGGCTTTTGCAGCTGCATAAAGAGACAACTTGCACAAAATAGCAGAAGAGTAAATTTGACAAACTGTTGTACAAGCAAACCTTAAATGATGTTGTCGATAGCAATTCTGTAGCGTTCTTTCTGTTTACTTTGTTTCCGTATTGGCATGCTGGCGCAATTTTTACTATTTTTTACAAACCTTATTTAATGCAACCTATGCTGTGTTTGATTGTCATTGACTTAGAAAGAACGGCACCAATTATAAGGGCATTGCATGGGTGAAAGCAGGTGAAAGTATACTAACTATATTTAATACTAACGATTATATTGCTCACTTGTTGTCACTATTTTTAGTAAGCCAAAGACCTAGTAAGTTTCAGTTTAAA